TCAGGTCATGATCTCATGGCTCCTGAGTTCAAGCGCCACATCAGGCTCTGTGCTGACAGTGTGGAGCCTGCTTGGGATTCTCGCTCTCTCTCTTTCTGCCCCTTGCCTGCTCCCTCTCTCTCTCAAAATAAATAAACAAACTTAAAAAAAATACAACTACAATATAATTCCATTTATATAAGGTACCTAGAGTAGTGGAATTCATACAAAGTTGAACAGTGGTTGACTGGGGGAAGGGAAAATGGAGAATTGTTGTTTTATGAATATAGAACTTGTTTCACATTATGCAAAAGTCCTAGAGATTGGTCGTATAACAGTGTGAATATACTTAACACTGCTTAACTGTGCATTTAAGAATGTTTCAGATAGGAGCGCCTGGATGGCTCCGTCTGTTAAGCTCTGGACTCTTGATTTCAGCTCAGTTCGTGATCTCACAAGCCCTGCGATCCAGCCCCAAGTCAGGCTCATCACTGGGCCTGGAGCCTACTTAAGATTCTTAAGATTCTCATTCTCCCTCTCCCTCCCTGGTCCTCTCCCGCTTGTGTGCGCACTCTGTCTCTAAAACAAAACAAAACAAAAGTTTAAAATAGCAAATTTTATGTTATGGGTATTTCCTCACAATTAAAAATTAATTTTTTTCAGAAAAAAAATTAAAAGCATCAAGATCAAGTACAGCTCATTCCAGTGACAAAGGAATGGTTTAACATTAGAAGTATCTATCATTGGGGCGCCTGGGTGGCGCAGTCGGTTAAGCGTCCGACTTCAGCCAGGTCACGATCTCGCGGTCCGTGAGTTCGAGCCCCGCGTCAGGCTCTGGGCTGATGCCTCAGAGCCTGGAGCCTGTTTCCGATTCTGTGTCTCCCTCTCTCTCTGCCCCTCCCCAGTCATGCTCTGTCTCTCTCTGTCCCAAAAATAAATAAACGTTGAAAAAAAAAAAATTAAAAAAAAAAAAAAAAAAGAAGTATCTATCATTGCAATTCATCACATCAGTGACCTGAAGGAGAAAACTCATATGGCTATCTCAAAATATTCAGGAAAGGCATTTGATGAAGTTCTGTGACTATTTATGATAAAAACTTACAGTTAGGAAAAAAGAGGAGCTTTCTCAGAATGATAAAAAGCCATATGTGATTACGTATGATGGAATAATAAGTATTCACACTTCTTTTTTTGTTTGTTTCAAGTTTTTATTTAAATTCTAGTTAACTTACAGTGTAATACTGGTTTCAGGAGTAGAATTTAGGGATTCACACCCAGTGCCCATCATAACAAGTGCCTTCTCTAATAATAAACCAAGAAAAAGAAATTGTGAGAGTAATTCTATCTACATAGAAAATCCAACAGGATCTATGGGCAGACTTTTTTTTACAAATTAGAGAATTCTTCAGTGTTGCAGGGATATAAAATAAAGCTACCAAAAGTTAACAACACTCTTCAAACCAACAATAACTCACTAAAACATGAACATAAGATGCCACTCACGAGAGCAATAAAAGTCAGCGTTTCGGAAATAAAAACACAGCCTTGAACTTTGCGGAGCGAAAAAATTTAAGGACATAAAAGAAGACACGAATAACTGAAGTGACATACTTTTTTAATGATTAGAAGAGCTTAACATTTGAAGCTGTGATTTCTCCTGATATCAATCTAGAAATTTAATTGAAATCTCAGTGAAAATTAAGATGGTTTCTGAAGAACTTGGAAAACACTGTTACAATATTTCTCTAGAAGAATAAAGGTTCATAAAAAGTTAGGTCAAGTTTGCAAAAGATGACCAAAGGTGGGAAGGCGCGGGGCTTGCCCTGTCCTATTAAACCACACCGTATGGGGCGCCTGGGTGGCTCGGTCAGTTAAGCGTCCCACTCTTGATTTCAGCTCAGGTCACGATCTCGCAGTCATGAGATCGAGCTCCGCATCAGGTTCCGAGCTGAGCATGGGGCCTGCTCGAAATTCTGTATCTCTCCCTCTGCCCCTCTCCCCCACTCATGCTCTCTCTCTCTCTCTCTCTCTCTCTCTCTCTCTCTGAAACAAACAAAAACCACTGTAAACCATAACAATCAATAGCATGTGATACCGACTGAGAATTAGTCAAGCAGATGAAAGGAACCAAAGGAGAGCTTAAAATACGTATGTATGCTAACAACTGCATACTTGTATGATCAAAGTGGGACCACAGTTCCGAGGGAGAAAGAACTGATTGGTCGGCGATGCTGGGAAAACTGGCTCACTCTACGTTGAAACACATCTGGATCCCTTCTTGCACCACATCCAGACACAGAATCTGTGGCCTTAAGGATCTTAATATAAATTGTGATACCTACCATTGATCGAGTGCTCATATGTGCCGTGCCCGTTACTGTGCAGGAAGTCATTTAATGCTAAATGAATGCTATGAAGGAAATACTATTATTACCTCCATCTGACAAATGAGGAAACGAAGGCACAGAGAATTTATGTAACTTGCTCACGGCTGGATGAGGGTGAGGTGAAGGATGTGAGCCGGGCAAAGCCAATTTGTATCTTTATTTAAATTGTTGATATTTTGTTCATCGTGTGTTTTTGCCTTAAATCTGACTTTGAAAAACAATGCATTGAAGTATTATTGACCTTGCTTACCGGATCTTTTGGTATCCACTTACTTTTTTTACACTAGTCCTGGCCTTCCAAATCCCAACACTGGTAAGAAGCCCAGTATTCCAGTGGTCTGGCTCCAGATTCCGTGAACGATCTTATTGTGACACTTAGTAAAACTATCGGGCCAGGGCCGCCTGGGTGGCTCAGCCGCTTAAGCCTCGATTCTTGATTTTTCCTCAGGTCATGGTCTCGCAGTTCATGAGTTCCGCATGGACTCAGCCCCGCATGGAGCTCTGCACTGATAGAGCTGAGCCTTCTTGGGATTCTCTCTCTCTCTCTCTCTCTGCCCCTCCCTTCCTCCCTCTCCGTCAAAATAAATAAACTTTAAAAAAAAACAAAACTATCAGGCCACTAGAATACGACACTGGAGAATATCTTTATAATCTTGGGAGGGGGAAACACTTCAAACAAAACTCAAAGAACACAAACCTGATGGACTTGAATATATAAAACGGAGGATTGGTTTTCTTTCTTTTAATGAAGGTTTGTGTAAAGTAGAAGCAGAAGAAAATGAATATATTGTCCGATTTCTTTTTCAAAAATGAACTGAATATTAAAAAAAATTTTTTTTAATGTTTATTTTTTGAGAGAGAGAGAGAGCGTGTGCAAGCAGAGGAGGGGCAGAGAGAGGGGGAGACACAGAATCCAAAGCAGGCTCCGGGATCTGAGCTGTCAGCACAGAGCCTGATGCGGGGCTCGAACTCACGGACCGCGAGATCATGACCTGAGCCGAAGTCAGCCGCTTAACCTCCCTCCCCCCTTCCTTCCTTCCTTCTTTTACAAATTCACAAAGCTTTGGAAGGAAACGCAGTAAATTTTTGTTTGCAAATGGCTTGATCTACCTCTTTCCCTGGTGCCTTTGAAGTGGACATTGAACTCTTGTGAGACAATCCTGGGTCCTCTAGGTCCTGGTCCACAAAAAAACCAGGCAGCAGTCAGCAGCTACCTTTACTTGGACCCAGACACCCGACTCCGACGATACTGCCAGCAATCAGACCTATATGGCTTGTGAGCAAAACAGACGAAAAGAGGGAACCAAACAGGACCAGTTATCATTTTCCACGTATGTCCACAGGTTTTTGTGTTTTGAGTTGGCCTGGAGTACGAGTTTAGAGAAAGCTAAGGAATATACCAAGTGCTACCATGAAGAGATCCTGGATCCACAATGGAAGGGGCGTGCCAGCTGCCCCTCTGCTTCGACCGAGAACAAGCCCGGAAAGATGATGAAACTATCGGGAAGGGTGAAGTTATCCCTCAGGAAGCAGACTTCCGGATCAGGTTTGAGACACCGGGAGTAAAGGGACTTCTGGCAGATGGTCCATAAAAACATACTAGACTAAGGCATGGAAAGAATAAACAAGCACTGTTTTTTTAAAAAGCTCTTCCAGGGGCACCTGGGTGGCTCAGTCGGGCAAGCGTCCGGCTTCAGCTCAGGTCATGATCTCGTAATTCGTGGGTTCAAGCCCTGTGTTGGGCTCTGTGCTGACAGCTCAGTGCCTGGAGTCTGCTTTGGATTCTGTCTGTCTGTCTGTCTGTCTGTCTGTCTCTCTCTCTCTCTCTCTGCCCCTCCCCCACTCGTGCTCTATCTCTCTCTCTCTCAAAAAATAAATGGACATTAAATAAAAGCTCTTCTGGGGCGCCTCGGTGGCTCAGTCCATTGAGCGTCCAACTTTGGCTCAGGTCATGATCTCGTGGTTTGTGAGTTCAAGCCTCGCATCGGGCTCACTGATATCAGCACAGAGCCTTCTTCAGATCCTCTGTCCCCCTCTCTCTGTCCCTCTCCTTCTTGTGCTCTCTCTCTCTCTCTCAAAAATAAACATTAAAAACAAACCAAAAAAAAAGCTCTTCTGGGATGACCTGTTTAAGACAGAAACAAAACACCTCTCAGTTTAACCCGTTTCTGACCGAAAAGTCAAACCAGGGCTGACCCTTGAGAAAGAGTAAGTTCAAACCTCTCACAGGGGCATCTGTCTGGCTCAGTCAGTACAACATGTGACCCCTTGATCTTGGGGTTGTGAGTTCCAGCCTCGTGTTGGGTGTACAAATTACTTAAAAATAAAATCTTTAAAAGGAATTAATGAATTAGTTAAAAAAAATACACAAAACCTCTTGCACCCGTGGGTGGGGGGCAAGAAAACATGATGTCGTTTTTAACGAATGTTAAAGAGGAATAATTTTGGGGCACCTGGGTGGCTCACTCAGTTGAGCATCTGACTCTCGGTTTCAACTCAGGTCATGATCCCACGCTTCGTGAGTTTGAGTCCCACATCGGACTCTAAGCTGACAGCAGGGAGCCTGCTAAGACTTCTCTCTCCCTCTCTCTCTGCCCCTCCCCCGCTTGTGCTGCCTCTGTCTCTCTCAAAATAAGTCAATAAACTTTAAAAAAAAAAAAAAAAAGCAGCACACTTTCAAGGCTGAAAGTGGCCTGAAAACTCTTGTTCTTTATTTTGCTGATTAGTGATATGCTGTAGAAAATCATGAGTCACGGGTTTAGTCCCATGTATATCATGGGTCAAACGACTCGTGAACACGCCAAGCAAGGCCACGTTCTCGGAAGTTTACACAGTTTCTGGTCTGGTCCTGCCCTCAATGGAAGCTGGGAACACCGTGAGATATTTAGCACCACTTTCCTATAACCTAGTCCGCATCCCGTGGACCCAATCCATCCTTGGGGGATTTGCCTGTTTGTGCCAGTGTCCGTAGGAGGCAAGGGTTTGCTGTGGTCGCTGCCAGAGTCTTCCCCCTGCGTGTTGCTGCCGGGGCGTTTCCAATGCGACTGGAGACACGGGTTCTGAGCAGCCGTCCTCACTCTGGGTCCGCCAGGAACCTGTCCGTGGGCATCTCTACCCTGGGCCAGTGGTATTTCTTTCGTGGAAAGTCTTAGGACCTTGTCCTTTGACACCACTGGCTTTAGAGAAGTCCTCAAATAGAAATGTGGAGAGAACTGGAATTCAAGTGGAGGGTGGCAGGGGTGTGGATCCCCAGGCAGCCTCGTTTGAAAAAGGCATAGGTTGCGATGGGCGGGGGTACGGGGCAGCCAAAACAGCCAAGGCAAGCTTGTTTTGCAAGCTGGCAACGCAGTTAGGGCTGAAACCATGCTGGGGAGGCCTGCAGCAGAGGGTCTTTGAACTCAGTATTCCATTTCAGCAGGTTTCTCACCTGAGTTGGGGGGAGGGTTCTTGGGGCGTCCTCTGCAGGTCTTTGAGCGAGAGTGCTGGGGTGTGGGAGAGGAAGTAGCAGGCCCATCCCGGAGCCACTCCAGGGCAGTGCTGGCATCCAGAGCCCCCATCATCCATCGGTGGGGGGTCCGGCGGGAGCCAAGGCGGCGCTCACGGAGAACGCCCCCGTGGGACGTGGGCCCAAGCCTGCACTCCACCCCAGGACTCCGAGCATTGTTAACGAAGGGAAACTCGGACAAAGTAAGGAGACAAAGAGAAGAGATATGTGCAACACCAAAGCACTGATACTTAGCTGTGTGTAGACATGCAAATCAGTAGAAAGAAGGCTAGAAACCCAATAGAAAAGGTAGACAAAGGCTCCCCAAAGAGACAATTCACAGAAGAGGGAACCACCATGACTGCCAAGTGCATGAAGAGCTATTCAAATTCCCTAGTCATCAAGAGAACCCAGATGGAAGTTAGGAACCACTTCAGATTCGTCAGATTAGCAAGCATCAGAAAACTGGAAAGCCAAGTGCTAACGGAAAACCAGAACCCTCGCGGTAAGTGTGGAAGTTCCAACAGCCACCCAGGAGAGCACCGTCGGTGCTTTGGGAAGCCGAGGGTGCGTGTACCCTGTGGCCTGGAAGTCCTACTTCGAGGAGAATTCTCCCACAGTCCATAAGGAGACAGTTGAAGACAGGTGTTCGTAGCAGTGATGTATGTGGCAGGGGCACTGAGGCCAAGCTAAGGGGTGCATCACTGAAGGGTGTGGGGGATACTAAGAGTACTGGATGCTCAGCGTGGCATATTACATGCAACTATCAGAAGTAACAAATGAGATGCATGTGGAAAACATTAGAGTTGAGTGTAAAACCGTAAACAGGATGAGTCTTATACGCGACAGCATGTTTGTAAATTTAAAGCATCCATATAGGAGCCAAGCCGTGTATAGAAGAGAACCAGACAGGATTCAAGGAAGCTGCCTGAGCACACCGAGAGGGGCCTTGTTTACAGTGGTGACGCGTCACAAACCGAGGAGGAAAGAGTCAACTCTGCCTATGAGGTCATGCAATGAGGTGTGGTGGGTGGGGGACGAGCATCCCTGGAACCAGGGGAGCTTGGGTTCCAACCCCAGTTCTACCACCTGTAAGCACTGGGGATTTGGGCAAAGCATTCATTCATTTCATCCACAAATATTTAACGAGCATCTACTCAGGGCCAAACACTGTTCTGGGCACCGTGGACACGCTGGTGAATAAAACAGTGTAACATAAGTTACCCTCGGATAAGTGCCGTGTAATGTGATACTGACTTTAGATTGCATCATCACGGATGGCATCTCTGACACCTGACTTTCCAGCAGGGATGCAGATGATGAAAGGACCCAGTTGTGAAAGAGCAAGGTTAAGTGCTTTCCAGGCACAGGGAACAGCATGTGCAAAGGCCCCGAGGTGACAATGAGTTTGGCCTGTGTGGCTGGGTAGGTGAAAGAGGGGCAGAGGGGGCTTGAGGAGATTGAAGATGTAGGCGGGGAACAGATCATTCACAGCTTTGTAGGCCTTCGTCAAAAAGAGCTCAGATCTTATTCTAAACACAATGGAAAACCAAGAGACAGTTTCATACAGAGGAGTGACTTAGCAGCATACTTTAAAAACAAAACAAAACAAAACATTTTTTTCCTTAAGAGTAATACACAGAGAAAAAGATGAGATACATTTTAAAAGATCACTTTGGCTGCTGAGTGGAGACTGGATCGGAGGAGTGGAAGCCACATAAGCTTTCTGAGCCTCAGAGTCCACACCTGCTATGGTGAGAATACCCAACCGGTGCAGAGCCGCGGTGAGTCAAGGTGGGAACACAGTCTGGTCCTAGGAGTCTCCTTGGCACTCGAGGCGCAGGCTGGGACGCGCAACGCTCCATCTCGGGCCTGGGGTGCCCCTCCAAGCCCAAGACACAGACCTACGAATTGCAAGCCAGCGAGCGCTGCACCCGCTGTGGCTCGCGTAGGCGGCCGCTGGGAGGCGCCGGAAACTCTGCGCCGTCCCCAAAGGAGGGCCCGCCCACTGGCCCGCTCGGCGCTCGGCAGCTCCGGCCTGCCGAGGGCGAGCAGGGGCGGGGCCGTTGCGTGGGGGCGGGGCCTCGGCCGGGGCGCCGGACAGTCGCAGTCTTAAGCCTACAGCACGGGGCGGGGCCTGCGTGCGGGGGCGGGGCCGCGGCGCTCGGGGCTGGCGGGCTCGGATGGCGGCGGCGCAAGGCTCCTGAGCGGGCCGGGGCCATGAGCGCCGCCCGGCCCCAGTTCAGCATCGATGACGCCTTCGAGCTGTCCCTGGAGGACGCGGGCCCGGGGCCCGAATTCAGCGGGGTCGCCCGCTTCGGGCCGCTGCACTTCGAGCGCCGAGCCCGGTTCGAGGTGGCCGACGAGGACAAGCAGTCCCGGCTGCGCTACCAGGTGAACGGCCCGGCCCACCTCAACCCCAGCCCGGGTCCGGGGGGTACCCCAGGCCGAGGCCGGACCCTGGAGAACCCCAACTCAAGGGAAAATCTGTCTAGACGCCCCTGCCTACGTAGCCACTGATTCAAGGCCCTGCCCAGACCCTCCCAATTCTGATTTTGGTCCCCAGCCACCGAACCCGGGAGTTCTTCCCCTAGCCCCAGCTGGAAATCCCACCCGGTGTCCCCACTTATCCTGAGTCGGGACCCAACGCCCTCTTTCCCCGCTGGGCTAGAGAGCTCTTCTTGTCCCTGAACCAGATCTTGCCCAAACTCCGGAGGGTGGAGCAGACCCTCGAGCCTTCCACTCTCCCGCTTCTGTTCTGGAAGTCCCCACCCCATCCTGCCCCCGC